AATACTTCGGGTTAATATCCAACATAAGCACCTTACCCCCTGTACCTGTGCTGATAAATTCTTCCCATCTTCTTACAGAGTAATAAGACGGGCTATATTGGACTTGTCCTTAATCAACAGCCAGAGTTATAAATATTAATCTACCATATCATCAGTTGAGAATGTATTTGACTCCAAGTAATAGAAATTTGATTGCTGGGCTTAAGTACAAAGAAAAGAACAAAAGGGTCTGTGCTGTAATGAATTCATTACATAGGTTATCAGTGTATCAGGCAGCTCTGTTGCCATATTTTTGCCCTCATGTTTTTCACCTCCCTGGTGGTTCTATTTTTAGCCTGTACTATGGTTAGGAAGAAGGAAAGGGGATGGAAAAAAGAGCCATGCCCACATCAAAGCAAAAAATTTTCCAGATATCCTTAGATTTCTGCCTATGTCTTGGTGATAGAAAATGCATTAGAAAATGACCTTCCACTTCAAGGTAGTCTGGGACAGTATTTTATATTGACATCTATAATAAAGACCTCCACTACTATGGAAAAGAAATGAAAATTGGGTAGCAACTAATGACGTCTCCACAAGTAATGTGAAAGTATTATTCATCCATTTGAGAACAAATTTACTTGTTATGCACTTTGTACCTGAAACTGTTGCAGATACTGAGGAAACATCAGTGAATGAGCAGGTAATGTTTCTACATTATTGGAACCTACACTTTGATGGAATGAACAATAAACAAGTTGACAAGATCATTTCCGGAGTATGAAGAGCCACATACTATTATGTACATATATACATACACACATATATTAAAAGTACTGTATGAATTAGGAAATAGCTTGAAGTTGGTTCAGCATCACATAGTCTCCTTAATACCACTATAACAATCCCAGAGCAATGCACTGGGAGTAGTCCCTGAACACTGTCAGATATGGACCCCCCAAAAGACAAAAGAACAGAATCACATGAGGATGGTCAAGGCTTGCCTAAGATTAATTTATCTGCAGAACTGCAGGTCTGCATTTACTTGCATTAATCATTTAATCCTCGTAATGCATAAGTATTGTTTTTGTTTATACTGTGGGAAAACAATGAAGGGGCTGGAGCTATAGTACAGCGGGTAGGGCTTGCACGCGGCCGACCTGGGTTTGATCCCCAGCATCCCATATGGTCCCCCGAGCACCACTCTGAGTGAAGAGCCAGGAGTAACCCTTGTGCATCGCCAGGTGTGACCCAAAAAGCAAAAAAACAAAACAAAAAAAAGGATGCACAAGGAGATAAAGGAACTTGCCAAAGGTCACATGACTAGTAACAAATGTAGGTGGGCTTTTCACCAAGATTGTGATAGGCTTAACAACAACCACTGAATTGCACCACTTTCCTAGATGGTGAAGGTCTGCTTAACAAAGCATCCCAAGTATAAGTGGCTTAAAACAACCATTAGTGGAATTTGAAGACACTACAGTGGTTAAGGCTCATACACCCCACATAGTCCCCTAAGTGCCATCTCTTCATTGGATCATCAGATCTGTTGGTTGGCTGAGTGAGGTGCCTGGACCTCTTGAACACTACTTGGAGGTTCCCCCTGAAATGAAAAACTCAACATGAAAGTAAAATTATTAATTTTGCTAGTGTATTTGTAATTTGAGCAGGGTACAGTGAAATGTGTCAATAGGGTAAACTTTTGTTTGAGGGCCACAACCAGTTGTGCTCAAGGATTACTCCTGGCTTTGTGCTCAGGGATCACTACTGGAAGGCTTCAGGGAACCATAAGGAGTGCCGGTGATCAGATCAGCTGTGAGCAAGCCAAGTGTACTATCTGTGTACTCACTGTACTATCTGAGCCCCATCAACAGGGTGAATTGTTAGGAGCTCGAGTATTATCTCCAAAATGGCTCATTCACCTCTGGCAAGTTGAAGCTGGCTATTGGTTCTTTTCCATTTGGGCCTCATCCCATGACATGGTTCCAAATAGTCTGGGGCTGGCAGTATGACTCAATTGATAGAGCACACGCCTTGCATGTGAGAGGTTGGGTTTGGTCCCCAGCATCACATGGCCTCTAGCACCAACTGAAGTCGACTTAATAGCTCCCAAGTACTGCCAGGTGTGCCCCCTTCCCCCCCCCAAAATAATAAAACCCAAAACCTCTAGATATCCAGGAGAAAGTTGCCTCGGCTTTTGTAACTACCTCAAAAACAAGGGGAGAGAATTAGACCTCACCTCTTAGTGGGAGATGTCAAAGTTACACTTTGTAGTAATTGTAATAGAACCTTGGATATGATATATATTGTGGCCATTTTGAAAAATACAGTCTGCTACAGATGCATTTGAGTACAATGGAAAGAGATCCTGCCCAATAAAGGAATAGGGGTGGAAAGGTGGTCTAGGATTGTGTGTGAGTGAACCTATCTTGAAAATCTAAGCTAGAATCATTGTGTCACTTTGCACAAACTCAATTTATCAGTAGAATACAACTGTTATATGTCAAGTTCCTTCTTGTTTAATAAGATACAATCTTTTACCTAAGAACTCACAGTAGGATATTCAGAAAACCACAAGAGCCTCTCACTTAGTTATCTGCTTTCATTTAAACATAGCAGTCACGGGAAATGTTTAAAATTCTTCTGTTTAAAGTCTTGAAGAAAGGAGGTTGGGGCTGGAGCAATAGCACAGCGGATAGGGCGTTTGCCTTGCATGTGGCTGACCCAGGTTCGATTCCCAGCATCCCATATGGTCCCCCGAGCACCGCCAGGAGTGATTCCTGTGTGCAAAGCCAGGAGTAACCCCTGAGCATTTCTGGGTGTGACCCCAAAGAAAGCAAATATAAAATAAAGTCTTGAAGGGTACCCACTATGAAGTAGTAGGACATCCTCACCATAATCTAAACAACCTTTCCTGATTTGGCTCCAGCATGCTTGTCTTTCCTCAATGACCTTTCAATTTCTGAGACCCCACCAACCTCCTTTCTTCTTTCTTCTTTTTTGGGTCACACCCGGCTGGGAATTGAACCCAGGTCAGCCGTGTGTAAGGCAAACGCCCTACCCGCTGTGATATCGCTCCAGCCCCAACCTCCTTTCTTTAAAGATTTTCTGACAGACTGCTCTTCTTTTTGGGTGGTGGTGGGGGGGGGCACACCCAGCAATGCTCAGGGGTTACTCATCTCTGCATCCAGAAATTACTCCTGGCAGTGCTCAGGGGACCACATAGGGTGCCATATGGATTTGAACCTGGCTACATTGTGCAAGGCAAATGCCCACTTCAGCATGTAACACTTCACCCCTCTACTCATCACGTGGCCTACTGGTTTATAGTTTCAGCTTAACTGTTACTTTCTTGGAGTTCTTACAATCCCTTCAATTAAATCAAATATTCCATCACACCCTGTTAGGGTGTCCTAAAGGTAAAGGTAAAGGCCCTCCCGTTGATCGTCGATTTGCTCGAGCGGGCCCAGTAACATCTCCATTGGAGACTTTGTTGTTACTGTGTCTGGCATATCGAATACTCTCGGTAGCTTGCCAGGCTCTCCAAGAGGGGCGGAGGAATCGAACTCCGGTCGGCCATCTTGGCCGCTTGTAAGGCGAATGCCCTACCGCTGTGCTATCGCTCCAGCCTAAACATCATTATTATAATTAAAATGTTTAGTGTAGCTAGGAGGGCACACCCAGCAATGCTCAGGGTCACTCTTGTCTTTGTACCCAGAAATTACTCCTGGTAGTGCTCGGGGGACCAAAAGGGGCATGAGGATTAAACTCAGTATGCAAGCCCTACCTACTGTACTATTATTCTATCCCCCAAATATACCATTTTATTATCATTTTTCCCCCATGGGTCTCATTTTATTTTTCACATCCAAAGTTCTCAAAAGTGCCTCTGGACAAGAGAAATAATGCTTTTGAAAAATCAACATAGACCAGAGTCACAGTCCTTGGCCTTCCCAGTTTTGGATGATCTGGTAGACAAGAAAATCCAGAACCCCAGAAGTCCTACAGTTCCCAACCCCCTGCACCAAGGTAGAGGAGGGAATTCCTATGTCACAGTTCCCACACACTTTCAAGGAATGTGCTTTTATTTGCTGTTTTATTTGTTGGACAAGACCCTGAGTCCTTCAGGAGACACTCAGAAGACAGGAAGTCTGAGAGTGAAGCCACTGGTAGTCACAATCTTCTTCAGCTTTTCAGAGTCAAGTAGAGCAGCTATTATTCCCTTCTGCTCCTCCTTGCCTGTCTTCTGTTGAAGTAGCAAGTCAAATAGCTGATGCTTTTCCCTGCTCCAGGTAAGGGTGAAAAGACATTGTTCACAGGAGTGTTCTGCCTAGCTCACTGATGAGGTGACATGGCAAGTCAAGAAAGTTTCTCCATGTTGTTAGATTTCTTTTTTTTTTTTTTTGCTTTTTTGGGTCACACCTGGCAATGCACAGGAGTTACTCCTGGTTCATGCACTCAGAAATCACTCCTGGCAGTGCTCGGGGGACCATATGGGATGCTGGGAATCGAACCTGGGTCAGCAGCATGCAAGGCAAAAGCCCTACCCGCTGTGCTATTGCTCCAGCCCCCATGTTGTTAGATTTCTTGGCTGAGGTCACCAAGTAGTACATTTCCTGAGCTTGTGAATTCTTCAACTCACTGCCTCTCCTTTCAGCGAGATCACAATTGCAAGGCAGGTTCTTCTGCCACTGTTCCATCCCCGGGGGCCTCAAATTCGCATTTTACTTTTTTAGTGAAATGAAATAGTTTTTTTTGGGGGGGGGGTCACACCTGGCGATGCACAGGGGTTACTCCTGGCTGTGCGCTCAGGAATTACCCCTGGCGGTGCTCAGGGGACCATACAGGATGCTGGGAATTGAACCCGGGTCGGCCGTGTGCAAGGCAAACGTCCTACCCGCTGTGCTATTGCTCCAGCCCCTGAAATAGTTTTATAGAGAGAAATATGAGGGGAGAGAGAGACAGAGATACATGTTCAAGACTGGGAGGGAGGTATTGAAATTTGTACACACACACACACACACATAAATATAATTTACACACACACACTACCACAAATTATGGCAGTCGAGTTTCCCACATTTGGGGAAATCGCAGGGGTCAGCACATCTGGAGTGCAATGGATAAGCCTCGCCCTGGGAAAACCACCTTCATGATCACTGTATCTCCACAGCAGTAAGGTGTTTGCTTTGAGTGCAGCCTGCCGGCCGAGCCAGGTTTGATTCCTCTGCCCCTCTCAGAAAGCCCAGCAAGCTACCGAGAGTATCTCGCTTGCACGGCAAAGCCTGGCAAGCTACCCGTGATATATATACCAAATATATATACCAAACACAGTAACAACAAGTCTCACGATGGAGACGTTACTGGGCCTGCTCGAGCAAATCGATGAACAATGGGAGGACAGTGACACACACACACACATACACAGTGGTGCTCAGGATCTCTCCTGGTGGGGTGCAGGGGACCACAGAATTACTGTGCTATAGCTCTGTTCCCCAAATTTACATTTTAAAAGTGTGATTGACTACAATTTCTAGAGAATGGATTAGAAGAAGTAAAGAAAGTGGTGTAGTGGCAATAACTCCAAGAAAGAGATGATAACTGGAACCAGATCAAATTGTAATAGACTAAAAAAGATGAACTGAAGTGAGGGACAACAGTACAAACTAATAACTCAGTAGCAGTGGTAGATGGAGAAGTTAAGGATAATACCCAAGTTTCTGGCCTGTTTTTTTTTTTTTGCGGGGGGAAGGATGTCAGTTGATACCCAGAGGTACTCCTGGTGGATTCAGGGGAACCATATGGGGTTCTAAGGATCATCTGGATTGGTCAATTGTCAACCAAGTGCCTTAACCCCTGTATTATTTCTCTGTCTCATAAGCCACTATTAAGTAATAACTTGAGATCCCTTGAGGGATCCTGAGATTGGCATTATTCAGCATCTAAGTAGCAGCTGTCATGATTAGAAAATTAGACCATATTTATGACTAACATTTCCTCTAACAGCACTTTGTTCTTCCATTAGAAGAACTGAATCCAGTTAAATGTGATTTGTTTCATATCATACCAGATTTGAATATATTTATATAAATCATGGTGAAAGCAAGGAAATGGGGCCAACTAATGAAAGCAATAATAACTAAAGTTAGCCCTTTGCTCCTTTAGTTGCAGGTACTATAAATAACTCAGGATGGAGAGATAGCTCAAAGGATTGAGTGCACACTTCGCATGCAAAAGACCTAGGTTCAATCCCTAGAACAGCAGAAGCAGCAGGGGCAACTACTGAGCAGAGTGGGAAGTAGCGCCTGCACATCACTGAGTATAGCCCCCAAACAAATCGGGCTATGAATCTTCTCACAATGAAATAATCTTAATTCCTGTTAAGTACATTTGGTTGTTTAGAATAATAAGCACTTTATAGCCATTTTTATTATTTATTTTTTACTAGTTCTTTGGGTTTTGGCCACAACCTGTGGTGCTCAGAGACTATTTCTGGCATGCCTCTCAGGAGTCGCTGCTTACACTGCTCAGGGATCAAATCTGGGTGTCCCACATGCAAAGTATGTGAATTCGCATATGCTTTTAGTTAACTCCATAAATCCTCACTATCAGGGCCAGAGTTATGGGGACAGTGGGTAGGGCATTTGCCTTATAGGCAGCCAACCAGGGTTCAATCCCTAGCATCCCATATGGTCCCTGAGCACAAGTCAGGAGAAACCCCTGAGCACCACCAGATGTGACCCCAAAACAAAAACAACTCACTACTGCAACAACCTCACTCCTATAATCATAGGAGAAGGGCATCCTGTTTTTTTTTTTATTAGTGAAACACCTTCTCGATGGATGCATCTGATGCTAGTGTACGTGCATTGAAAGTACAGCCCGCCTGTCCTTCGCCAACTATAAGACCAAGATGACTGCCCTCCGACGTCCTGATGGATCCATCACATCCTCCAGAACGGCAATGGAGAAGATTATCCATGACTTCTACTCAAATCTCTTCGATAGCCATGTCCACTTGCCGACATACCAAATTCCACAGGATGGGTATGTCGTTCCCAACGTTCTCCCTTCCGAAATCCGACACGCCATTTCGTCAGTAAAGAAGCAAACAGCACCCGGGCCAGACAAGGTCAGACCTGAACACCTGAAGAACCTGCCGTCAGTACTCATCAATACACTGGCTCGGCTCTTCACTCGCTACCTGTCTGAATGCAAGGTTCCATCTCAATGGAAAACCAGCAGGACCGTACTACTGTTCAAGAAGGGAGACATCCATGATTTTTGGCAACTATCGCCCGATCTGCCTATTGTCTGTCATCTACAAGTTGTTCACTCGAGTCATCCTGAATAGGATTGGCAGAACACTAGATGAAGGACAACCATGTGAGCAAGCAGGGTTCCGCAAAGGATTCAGCACCATCGACCATATCCACACGATAATCAAACTCATTGAGGTTTCTCGGGAGTTCAAGATGCCGCTCTGCTTAACGTTCATTGATTTAAAGAAGGCCTTTGATTCTGTTGAGACGGAAGCGGTCATTGAAGCCCTAGCCAATCAGGGCATTCAAGCCCAATACATCAGGATCCTCCGTGAGCTGTATTGCGGATTCACTACCAGGATCTCACCATTCTACAAAGAAGTGATCGTTGATGTCAAGAGAGGGGTGCGGCAGGGTGATACCATTTCACCAAAACTCTTCAGTGCCACCCTCGAGAACATCATGCGACGACTGGAATGGGAAGGAATGGGAGTGAAGATAGATGGTCGGCAACTACACCACCTCCGCTTTGCTGATGACATTGTTTTAATAACACCAAACATCAGCCAAGCGGCACAAATGCTGGCCGACTTTGACCGTGAGTGTGGAAAGGTAGGACTACAGCTGAATCTTACGAAGACAATGTTTATGAGAAACAGCCTTGTTCCTGACGCCCCATTCGCTCTCAATGGAACGACCATCTCCGAATGCAACAGCTATGTGTACCTAGGTCGAGAGGTCAACATGACAAATGACCTGGCACCCGAGCTGCGTAGGAGGAAGAGAGCAGCTTGGAACGCCTTCAAGAACGTCGAAGAAATAGCTAAGAGGACGAAGAACCTCCGGCTCCGGGCACATCTCTTTGATTCCACTGTTCTTCCTGCATTAACATATGCCTCAGAGACCTGGGCCCTACGCAAACAAGATGAGAACGCCATTCAGGTCTCCCAAAGAAGAATAGAAAGAGCTATGCTTGGAATATCACGTTTCACTCAAATGAGAGAACGAATCCGGAGTTCTGACATCCGTCGACGATCAAGGATCAGGGACGCTGTCTCATTTGCCAAGGTGTCGAAAATCAGATGGGCTGGTCACGTAATGAGATTTAAAGACGACCGTTGGACTAGAGCTGTTACTGATTGGATTCCACGGGATGTCAAGAGACCGCGTGGCCGCCCACCTACCAGATGGTCAGACTTCTTTGTCAAGGTCATGAACGATCGGTTTGAGGCCCTCCATGTTCCCGGAGCGAAGAGATGCCATTGGGCTACACTAGCACGCGACAGGGACAAATGGAGACGTTACTGGCGCCCGCTCGAGCAAATCGACGACTAACGGGAAGTTAAGTGATTAAGTGATTAAGTGAAACACCATGAGGTACAGTTATAGACTTAAAAATTTTTGTGCTCAGGTTTCAGTTATACAATGATCAAGTACCCATCCCTCCACCAGTGCCCATCCTCCCCCACCACGGGTCCCAGCATCCCTCCGACCCCCCATTCCCCCCGTCCCACCCTGCCGCTGTGGCAGGGCATTCCCCCTTGTTCTCTCTCTCTTGGGTACTGTGTTTTGCAAGAGAGGCATTGAGTGGCAATCATGTTTGGTCTATAGACTACTTTTAGCATGTCTCTCCCACCCTGGGAGGGTCTTCACAACACCCTTTATTTGGTGCTCTCTTCTCTATCTGAGCTTCCTTTTCACCTAGCACATGTGGCTGGCCTTCAAGTCATGGAGCAAAATTCCTGGTACTAATCTCAGCCATTCCTGGGTGTTAGTCTCCCGTTTTGTTGCTTTATGTTCCCCATATGAATGCAATCTTTCTGTGTCTATCCCGCTCTTTCTGACTCATTTCGCTTAACATGATACTTTCCATGTAGTACCACTTGTATGTAAATTTCATGACTTCATCTTTTCTAACAAATACATAGTACTCCATTGTGTAAATGTACCAAAGTTTCTTTAACCAGTCATCTGTTCTCGGGTACTCAGGTTTTTTCCAGATTCTGGCTATTGTAAAGAGTGCTGCAATGAACAAACAATTGCAGATGTCACTTCGACTATACCTTTTGGGCATCCTGTTTTAAGGATGAAAATGAGAAGCCAGAGAGCACAGCGGGTAGGGCGCTTGTCTTGCAAGCAGCTGACTGGGGTACAATCTCCAGCATCCTATATGGTTCCCTGAGCCCATCAGGGGAGTGATTACTGAGCTAGGAGTAACTCCTGAGCACCACCGGTGTGTCCCAAAAACCAGCAAACAAACCAAAGGATGAAGCCGGGGTCACGGAGGTTGCTCAGAGAGCTGGCGAGCAACTTTGCATGCAGAGCGCCTGGGTTTCCCAGCACAGCACAGTCCCCCACCGAGGGTCACTTCAAGTGGCCCCAAGCACCACAGGTATAGTCTGCCCCCAAAACAAAACGGGGGAAAAAACTGAGGGAGATGAGATTTAGGGATAAGTAGCTCACCCAGGGCCACTCTTAGTTAAGTGGCTATAACTTAGTACTACCTGAGACCAAAAGCCCAACTTTTTCTTTAAAGAAGTAAATAACTTCATTATTTAATTTCATTACTTTCTATTTTAGATCATTTTTAAAGTATTTTTAATAGAATTTTTTTTTTGGCTTTTTGGGTCACATCCTGTGATGCTCAGGGGTTACTCTTGGCTGTGCACTCAGGAATTATTCCCGGCATTGTTCAGGGGACCATATGGGACGCCGGGGATCAAACCCAGGTCAGCCGCATGCAAGGCAAATATCCTCCCTGCTGTAATATCACTCCAGCCCCTAAATAGAATATTTTAAAGTATTAGTTTAATTTACTAATATCCAACTTAGTCTGAAATTAAAACAACTTTCATTGTCCAGTGAGCTAGAAGGTGAAAGGGCTCAAGAGAAAGCAGAAGGCCTGGAGGAAGGCAATTTGGG